AGATTATCATTGTCAATGTTGAGGGGAGAGCCCTTTTGCAGTCATATGAAACAAAGAGTTTCTTAGTATTTTTTACTTCATCGATCGTGAAAACTAAAGGGCCATGACGTGACATAAAAAGCAGACACATTGCAGCATAGCATTAGTTGCGGCGTTGCGAACCACCTCTCCTAACCGAAAAAAAATTAATTCACTGGGAAGCAATAAATCAACAATGTATGTATACGAGAGGAGAACCTACAGTCGATTAGTAATAACGCGATGAGTATGCACGGAGAACTGTCTACCTATAGTCGTGCGCCACTAAATATGAAGTCTATGACTTAGAATGGCAGAGCCTTGAAGGCCTCACACTTTAGGCCATGGATGACCTAGCCTATGGCCAAAAATGGCATTGTCTATAGTGAGCGTCCAAATTGAAGAAAATCTGTGATTGACTCTTGTATGTGTCGAAATTCTAGCTGATGCGGACGATGGAATTGCCGCTGACGGTTTCTAGGTTGAATTTCTTCTTCTGTTGTCAAGTGGTTTCCGTTACGTTCTGCCAGAATTCGGGTTGAACCCAAACAATTGGTACACGATTATCGATACAGGAACATTAATGAGAAAAGTTTGACTAACTCCTTTCACTTGGAAGCGATCACGTTGTAGTCCTAATCCAGCACTCTGCTGTGTACAAACAACACGTGGCTTCATTTGTATGACTCTAGTGCATGCTTTCAATTTCGTGCACAGATATCCATTGGATGCTACTGATATTTAATGCCTGTTGTGGGAAATAGCTAGTACATAGAAGAATCTGTGACGCGTTACTCCCACCATGGAAGGAAAAGACTGGTATTCATAAAAGAAAATTCAATAATAATTGGGTGATTTGAAGGTGGTATTGAATTATTTTTCAGTTAAATGAAGCGATTTTTCAATTAGTCGCATATTTCCAACAAATTATTGCGAATGTAAAGGTGAATATTAGCTTCCATTCCAGTGGACACCATGCATTTGAGACTTCTAAGGTTCTATGATATGCAATTTTCCAGCCCTCTCAATTCGTTACTTAGGAAAACAATGGAAGCTTTCGACGATTTTCCTCACGACTCTGAATAGGGAAAGAGTTGACGCCATTGGCTAAGAATGATGTCCTCAGAGTCAGACCAGAGTAATGTAGACACACGCGATTAAATTTTGGGTTTGGACGCTGGTCATGATCCTCAACAAAAGTAGGTCTAGGCGTATAGCTTAAATTACCTGTCCAGATTTGAGTTGTGCCAAGCCGGTCTCGGAGGGCGTGACCCTATATCAGATTTTGGGATCTGGGTTGACGTGGTCCTGCACCACAATGATGATATAAGAGACAATAACCTTTTCTTCCAAGAAGGTAATCTTTCAATAACTAAGTCACTTCCCTACCACGGTTGGAAGAGCTCGCAACCCGCAAAATTTTCTCAACCGGCACCATCCTTGCCGATCCACTGCAGTCAACTTTTCCCTTCAGAGAAAGACATGAGAATGGGCTTGGCACGTCGTCGGCCTGCGTCTCGACTTAGGACAAAGTCAAGGTCATTTCCCGAACTGAAGTGCAGGGCCGCAGTTAAGGCTCCCGAAGAGGTCATACATGCCACATCGTGGCATAGCAGGACTTGCCATGCAAAGATTAAACAAAATACAAACGCGAGCTAATAAATTTATTGGCATGAAAAGTTTCCATACCTTGTATGGAAATTCTGCCACTCATTTGAAAGTCCTGCAGTTGAGTGAACACGTGAAACTGCCGAAAACTTGCGGGCCTGTAATTGAGCTTTTCGAAAGCTCTGTATGTTATCAGAAGCGTAAGTAGGTGTCCAAAACTGGGTGTCCACTATAATGCACGGTATTGTTTTTGGTTTTGTAATTTCTGGAAAAACTTTTTAAATTATGTTCATCAACGAAAGGGTATTTAATTCATCAAACAGAACCAACAAAAAAAATCAACAAAACTGAATTCATATATTATCATAATTCAGACCCGAAAGGGTTAAATGACCCCCAATAAAGGAATTTAAATTACATCTCAGGAAAAAAGATGCCATCAACAAAAACGCGACAATTTTTACTTGAGAGTTACCTTTCTCTCGAATGGTGTCAAACCTAGCAAAACCAATCAAACCTAGCATTATGTAATAATTCATTTTCAAATGGTAGCAGGAGTCTTGACACACCCCGTCATAATAGCCATCTACAGAGTGAGCCTTTTAAAAGAATATTAAGAATTTGCCAACTTTTATGGCCTAAGAGTCTAGGCCCCAGACTATAGCCTGATAAGGAATGGCCTTGTGGCCCTGGCGCTTTAGGCCGTGGATGGCCTGACCTATGACCCAGAATGGCATAGCATTGTAAGCCCGGGCGTTGGAGGTGACAGCCCCCACTACCACAATTTTTCGCCTCTTCGAATTATTAGACTAGCGGCCTGCGGGCGCTACGCTGGCCGTCTAATAGGCGGAAATTTGATTGTTCTATTGTGAGCATAACGTTTCCATGACATCCTCTGTTCATCGCATTACCCATTCGGAACTGAACCGAATTCACAATCGCTATTTTGAATGCCTAGGTTTAGCAGGTTTTCATGAGATTTAAGACGACTTTGTTGATTTCGTTGTCGCAGCACATTCAATACTCTTGCATCACTTATCAGCTTACGGGCTGTTATATTAGCTTATGGTACAGATACCACTGATTCTGAATCAGTACGGGCCATTTCCAAGAGCTTTTTCGACTTTAGCACAGAATGAAGTTAGCGCACGTGCGGCACAATACTAATGAATAATTCTTGAAAATGCCTCGCCCCCACATTACCGAGGCTCTGAAAGTGTTGCTCACGGGTGCTAAAGTGTGAGTTGCTGCAGAAGCACTTTTCCGTTGTGCCAGCAATATGAAACAAATGCCCCCTCCCTACAGGAAAATGTACAGCCTGACAGTATTCGCTGCGGCAAACGACTGTAATTATTGAGAAAACATGGGGAGGACATGAAAAATGTCCCGAGTTCCGTGGTTTAAGGTGTAACACACCTGACCGGCAAGCAGGAGGATCGGGTTCAGTTCTCGGCCGCTCCACGGCTTTTGACACCTGAATGCTGCAATGCTCAGCAGGCTCCATGGCTCTTATTCCTGAGCTCAGCATTCGCTGCCCCTTGCTGTTCAGCGGTCTGACCGGCCCAACGCTCCCTACGTACACGTACAATTGCGTGCTGTTCATTCATTCTAGCCATTTCGGCTGGCATCTCCTAAAGCACCGATTCAGGCACTTCGCATCGCAACTGCAGTGGCAAATGTTGTTTCCGCGCCAGTACCAATCGTTTTTTTTATCTACAGCGGCTGCCTCATCGCCGACCTTTGGACCTCCAACATTTTTTATTTGCGTTCAACCTCACCTCGCAAAAATCGCCACCATTTTGATGGTATGAGCGGGCCGCTTGCGCGACATATGAAGCAAAGAACTTGCGTGATTATGTTGATTTAATCAAGAGAACTCAAATAAATCGATCATGACATGAAACGCAAACCGAATGCTATTGCATAGAAACGATGCTGATATAGCCCGACGGACCCGGCGCTAAAAGCGTTGGATGACCAAGCCTATAGCCTGAAGTGACAGTCTCGTAGGCCTCGCGCGTTGTCGTGACAACTACCACCACTACTCTTGGGCATAGGTCCGACATAGCTTTGTAGTAGGCCTGGCCTATGACCCAGAATGGCATAGCATGGTAGGCCCGCGCGTTGGGGGTGACAGCCACCGCTACCATCCCCACAACTTTTGACCTCTTCGAATTAAAGTAATACTAGCGGCCTGCGGTCGCTACCCTGGCCGTCTAATAGGTGGAAATTTGAATAGTCTATTGTGAGCATAACGTCTCCTTGGCAATCCTCTGTTCATCGCATTACCCATTCGGAACTGAACCGCTTCATTACATTTATACACATACAAGGTGGCCCCAAAAAAAGTGCACCTACAGTCGAACTCGGTTATAACGACGAAAGCGCCAGGTCCCGGTGTAGAGCCCATAAGGCACATTACATTTTACCTCGGTTATAGCGAACTCGGTTATAATAAAACCTCGGTTATAACGAAGTCCATTGAAGGTCCCACTGAAGAAATCGACAACGTTCATGTCCCTAATCCGTCATTCTTAGCTGAAATTTCCGTCATCGGAAAAAATTAGCGTTGGCGAGCCATAACTTAATATTTCTTGGATTCGGCATTCCTTGAGAGTTATGTGGGTGTGGCTGGAGCAATGTTAGGGAGGGATAATCCCCAGTAACTAAGATCACCTTGTCTTCATTCGCCATTTGCATTTCTCGTTGACAACATGGCCAATGGAAAACGAAAGAGGCAAGCCTTCACGATTAGTTGATATTTTCCAACTTCCAATACCACTCCAACACAAATTTCCGCTGCTCAAATGTAAGTCTGGGATTTTGCATTATTACAACCAACTTGCAACTGAAAAAGAGAAAAGGTTACTGAGTTATGAGTTGATGAAGTGTGTATACATTTTTTTTGGACACCCTGTATAAAGTATAAGTGCGAACATCACGATTAGTGAGTCAATCTTGAAACTAAAGCTAGTGCAGTATGACCAATGTAAACTGGAGTTGTAACGTAAATATATATAGCATCAATTTTGAAAACGGGAAAACGGAATGCCAATAAAGGCAACCTCGGTTATAACGACGGTTTTTACCTGGTCCCTTCGATGACGTTATAACCGAGTTCGACTGTATTTTCAAATGGCATTTTCTCGAAAACTATTTATGCTAGCGACTTGAAAGAAAAAGCAAACGAAAGTTCAATTAATTTTCTATCGAATGGTATATAGTTTTATGATCATAGCTCCCACACCATGGCTGCCATGCCCATTTAAAAAAAAAACATACCACCAAATAAAGTTGCGCGGCGAGAAAAATTAGAAATTTCGTCGTGTCTTCGCATTGCAAGAGTTCAAAAACATGAAGACTTACCTTTGACTTTAATTTTCAATGAATGGCTCGATGTGGCCTCCACCATGATCAACCACTGCTCTCATTCTGCCTCTCCACTTGGAAATGGCCTTGGCGATGGAGCTCTGCGAGAGTTCATCCCAAGTCATGCGAATTCGCTCCTTCAACTGTTCGACGTCTCGGATTCTTACACCCCGGTACACTTTCTGCTCCAAAGCTGACCACACAAAGTAGTCGCCTGGGTTGAGGTCAGGATTGCAGGGTGGCCAAGAGCCTGGTTCAATCAAATCAGGGCAGTTGTTCCTCAAGAAATTGATGGTGTGTTAAGCTGTATGGGCTGGCGCCCCATCTTGCATAAACACGTAGCCATTTTGTCCTCGATTTCTGCCAGCATGGGCATCAGGACATCACTGCAATAACTTTCAGCATTGATTTTAACTCCTCTAGGAATGAATAGAATGGAAGTTTTGCCTTGAGATGAGGCTCCAAGTGAGACCACGACTGACTCGGTAAAGTGTTTTCTCTGACGTGAAAGCCTAGCTGGTTCGACATCTCTTTTCCGTTCAACTGCTGCATGAATGCGATCGTTCTGGGTGTTCCTTGGAGTCTCAACTGTGAAGCGCTTCTCATCTGTGAACCACACTGTTTTTGCAGCTTTTTGGGATCGGAAACGATTCAAAAGTTTTTTTGCACCGCATCACTCGCTTCTTCTTCACAGCTTCCGAAAGTTCGGGAATTGGTTTGAAGACTTTGAGTCTAAGATCTTCCTTGATGATACGCTGCACAGAAGAACGCGAAATTCCAATTTCCTTCGCAGCTTCACGCTCGCTTTTGCTGGTGCCTGGTCTGCCTTCTTGGCTCGAGATGAGGTCACTAACAGCTCGAATGTTCACCTCAATTCTTACACTTTTTGGGCGGTCACTACCTGGAGCACGTTTTCCACTCCCGGTTTGGGAGAGTTCTTTCAAAAACGTTGCCACATTTCTTCTCTTCCAGTTTCGATTTGGATATTCACGCAGAATTTTGTGTAAGGAATATCCTTTTTCTTCGCGAGGAGCACGAATAATGCTTTTAACAAGATTCAATTAAATTTTGCAGATTCAATTAAGGAATTGGGCCCTAAAGTGCTGCATATTTGACGTGTACTCATGTGGGGTGTCAGTGACAGAGGTGAGCGGACGCCAGTATAACCTGTCCCATAAGCCATCTAGCTGCCAATTCAAGTCAGGAACTCTGCAAATGTAACACGGAAGCCAGAATTCGCGTTCCTTTTATTCTTTCACCCTATCATTGCATATATTTTTGTTCAATCTCTCGTAATGATTGAACTTTATATGGAAATTGTAAGGGTCTACCAGGCCTGACCCCTATCTCATGTGCGTCGCATGACACTAGATGGGAATATGGCCAAATGGCTGGAATACCATCCTGGAAGGTAGAGCACTGTGCGCATGCTCATGATGAAATTTTAGCCATTTGGCCGTTTTCCCATCCTGTGGGTAGAAACAATGCGCAATGCTTACTATACAGGATAGGAAATACGCCTTTTGGCTGGCTTCCCATCCTGTGACGAGGCGTGCCCATTTTGCGCATGCCAGATAAACTTCCATATTTCTTCTTCACTGTCAAGAATAGGGCCAATATGCTCAAAACATACCTGTGCTGAGCTATATGGAATGACAAAACGTGAGTAACACATCAAAATCCTTTATTATTGAATCTGAAACGATACTTCCTGGGAAGCTAAAAAATGCATGGGCAAAACCAGGAGCTTGAGAAGGAAGTCTTTAAATGCACATGCTTAATGAGCAGCGAACTGTTATGGACACTGCGAAACAGGGGATATCATAGAATACATCAATATACAAAAACGCTATGAAATATCATTGGCATTACAGAACACTCGAGACATTTTCATGGAAGATCAGAAGACACCACCGCCATCCTCTTTCCAATCCGCAGCATTTTCTCGGCCGACCTGGAGATTCAATGCAGAAAAAAATATTGTCAGGACATTTGAAAAGATGTTCCCTTCCCTTATATACAAATAAATGGCTAGCTTCGATTCTGCCAAAAACATTTTCCATTTGCATTCTCCTGGTAAGTAAACCATGCTAAACTGATATATCCCATTATTCTGCAAAGTACAAAAATGTGCAATATTTAAATGTCAATACATCAAGCACGGGAAACTGGATAAAACTCAACCTTAACCTTTGAGTGAAAACACTTATGGATATTCTGTCGATTTTCCCCACTCTTCCGGAACTCTCTACATTCCCTATCCCCTACAGTTAGGAAGAAACAAAAGCTTTAATTTCGTTCACGTATCTTGAACTCTGAAGTCTTGAGCATTTCGGTGAAAATTCTCGCTGCATTGATGAGGAATACCATGCCAAGGCCAGGTGATGGTTTGCTTGGAGACGGCATATACAGTCAATCACTCCTGCAAGATCAGGGAATTTTTCACAATCGTTGCAATGCCATGTGTGAAATGGCAGGAATGGTATTGCCTTAGCTGAAGCATCAAGTGCACTTGGCTGAAGTTAATATTGGAATTAATATATTTAGGGATAAGGCAATACTTGCACATTAGCTTTCATGAATATAAAGCACTTGCCCTAGTTCACTTCTGAAGTCTCTGCATGACGTTGCATTCTTTGATCTGTTTCCTGATAGAGCCGCCTTACTTCTTCTCTTGTTTCACTCCTTAGCAGTTGTTTCTTGTCCGTCAGAGTGAAGCCCCACAGGAGGAGAGATTCTCGAGGAACGGACGAAATGCTTCCAGCCCCTGTCATTGGGTTCCATGTCTTCTCGTAAGTTCCCTTGTACCAGTGGATGGCCACTTGCTTCTCGTCTATAGAGGCTATCTTTCCTATCCATGGTCGGGATGATTTCTCCTCCGTATAGACAACAGCCAGCATACCTATGTGAAGATCTTCAGTCCCGGCACATATGCCCAGTCTCCGACTCCCAATCGAACCAATGATAGGCTGTGAATGGAATACAGAAAATTAAGCTTCGAGCTCAGCATTGAAAGGAGGATCTATTTGTGCAACCTTTGGGTGCAAGGCTGATGCCTTCAACCTGGAGAAAATGTTCTCACCTGTTGGAATGGTCCAAGCAGTTGGCTTCTCATGTTCGTCAGGTAGGATTGCATGGCTGGGGTGATGTTAGGATTGAGTTCAGGTGAAGTGTTCTTATGGTCTCTTAACTTCTGAAGATACAATCTAGGTTCCTGTGAATAAATCGATACACATTCGATTTTAATACCATACATTGCTTGTATTATAAGACTCTTCATACAATTGACATTACCATGGATTGCTGGGTATCTGGAGAGAAGACACGCCAAGCATGAATTTTATCCTCAGACATCTCTGGAAAGTAACTATGGATGGACGCCTTCACAAGTTCCAGTCCAGCTGAATTCCAATCCGGTGGTACCAGAACACAGAAGACATGGAGTTCTGGTGTTGTCTGAGGAAAAAGAAATGAAGCAGAAAAAGTGAGGGTAAGGGAAAGCTTTATGTACTTTTAGTTGGGATGCACTTCATGAGCACCTGCTACACTCTCAGAAGGGATATTCCATCTACATTCCAAATGCAAAAGCAATGTTCGCCTTTAGGAACCCCCTTGAACTTCTAAAATTGAAATCAATTTTTAGTATGAAAACAAAGTATATTGTAAGGAATAATGACAAAAGAAGTTGGTCAATCGTCATTGCATTATCCTCACCTGTAGACAGATATAACCAAGATCTGGGCCAAGACATTCCCTGACGTATTGATTATCATGCTCATTAGGGCACCAGGCTTCTCCAGCATGCATTCGAACGTGCATTTGTGTGATTCCGCTGGATTTCCGGAACCGGAATGAATGAGGCTTGGTCTGACCGCGAAAGTGACGGGGGAAATGATTCTGTATGACTCCCTTGAAGTTGTGAACTACATCCAATTCCTCAGCCTGAAGATGCTGAGGTCTCCCTCTCCTTTTTATCTCTCCCAAGCATGTCATCAAATCTGTCATTTAAAAAAGGCAGAAATAAATACATTAGAATGCAAAATTCAGAATTGAACCAAATCAGAGACTAAATATAAAAACATGAAATTACCATTTACTGTGCACGTATCCCTAACCCTCAGGTAGTGGTTCACCGAGCTGAAGAGTTGATCAATATCTTCATGAGTGTGTCCAACTGGGTGGAAGTTGAATAACACCTTTAAAAAGGAAAACAAAATCAGCTCAAAGTAGAGCATTCCAAAACGTCCGTTGGAAACATGGAAATATATTTAAAAAGAAGCATGTCTGAAAGTGTCGCTCACCTCATCAAATATTCCTTCCTCCACCAGTAGATGTGCAAGTGCGCAGAGGTACTTGTTCTTGTTCTCCCTGGTGCAATTATCCATCTGCAGGAAGAGTTTTGGCTTCAAATCTTCCTTCATACGGAGTAGGGTTCGAAGAATGACTTCAATGGTCAAATTGGAATCATGTGGGTATTGACTCATGTCCACATAAGCGAACTCACGAATGCCCTTGCCTGTGTACACCATCACTCCTGAAGGGTACATATGAACATGATATTCAAAATCTCACTTCATGAATCCATATATCAGCAGGATCACATAAAAAATGAACTAAGAAAAATAGAGTTAGCAGGGATGAAGGAAAGTTGAGAAGCTTGAGTTCTTTTGAAACTGCAGTTTCTGCAGGGAAAACGTGTTTCAGGAGGATATTGCATACAGTATTACTGGCTTTGTCATGAGATTCTGAAATGGACGTATCATTGCTTAATTGCAGTAGGCTTTAGCTTAGAAGCAATTCACATTGAAAAAATGTTGAGGGTTGCATCACCTGCAATATGAGTGACAAGCTTTGGCAAGCTGTTGGTATGCTTGTCTTCCTGGGCGAAACGCGGCACATTAGTTTTCTTTTGGTCCATTCCATCGACCACCATTGTCATCCATTCGCTATCCTCCAAAGCCAGAACCTTGTGGTGCGTGTAGTTGGATCGCTGCAATCTGTTGACCAAGAGGTACAAACAAATGAGAAACTACTATAAGAGGCATTTATAGGATGTGTAGGATAACGTACTCTGCCATTTTTAAATGTGTTTCACGAAGTTTTTCCAGATCTCTTCGGGCATCCCCTGTCACCACTCTCCACTGTTTCTTGATTTGGGTGCATATGCCACAACTGAGGAAGGCGTTTGGCTGTGTTTAAAGAAGTAAGATCAGAATGAATTCATCAGGAAACATAATAGAAAGATGCCAGTTGCCTTTCATTCATACAGTAAATGTATGCCAGAGTATGAACCTTTCTCACCTTTGCAACTGAGACGTTCATGTCCTTTAGGAGAGAAGTGAATCGGACGTACTTGAGAAGGCTCTCTCTCGGACATCCCTTCTCTACACATCCTTCCTGCATGTTGCGATGAAGTTGCTTCATTGTGAATCCCTGGACATATATCCTTTTGGTTGGGCATGGTGAATGCTGTCCATGGAGTGTGAGGAAGTTCATCAGCCACGCTCGAGCGAATTCAGCCTTTGGCTTCCTCCTTGGCAGCTTCGGGAAATGAGACCTTTGTCTCCGTTGCAGCTTGTTCCATTCTTTCTGAGTTACATTGAATAAATTCAAGCAACAGAGTCTGCAAAGGTTGACGCCTTTGTACGAAAGCGTCTGACGACTTCGAGAGGAGTTTCTATGGATCAAATCCGATAAAAACTTTTTTTTGTCCTTCGCGGACATTTCCTTGAGCTGACTGTCCATGTCGTGCAAGTCTCCACTTGCCATTCTCCCTAGACAGCACTTGTATCGGTAGGTCCCAGTTCTCATTCTTGGATTCTTCATTGGAGTCGAATGCGGTCTCTGAGCTAAGGATGTGCCGTCATCTGCGAGGGATACAAAAACTGTCATGTGCTTTCCCCCCCAAGTGTGAAGTCTTGAGGACATTTAATACATGCAAAAATCGATTTCGATATTTCAATGCGAAAAGACGAAACAGATGGAGCCTCTAAGTAAAATTTTGAAGCAGGAGGAACGGGGACTCATGTCTCAGAACGGTGGGGATATTGCATGCCATAGATGACATGCAAACTAGCACAAATTCCATGCTATACACATACAGGAGTGTAAATAAAAATTGAACACTAAGGATCATTTGAAAATCAACGCGATTTGGATAATAAATAGGAATTCTAATTTTTTAGGGGTGCAACACTAATTTCATATTACGGTAGCTAGCTTTATGGGTTAGTTTTTCAGCACAGTTTTCGAAAATAAAATGGTATTACAACCCCATTTCCACTCACTCACCGATCACTAAGTCTGTAGAATCGTCCAGTTTTCCAACTCTGTCTCCATGGACTGCTTCCCCTGGAGAATGAAGGCCAAATAAAATAAAAACTGGCAACCGGGAGGGATGTAGGTCCATTAATTCATCATCTCGCTATTTTAAGTAATACTTTTTTTTAAGGTATAGGTTAAATAAAAAATTTTTTTTAGATGAGTTGTCAAAATGGTGTGGGTATTTAGGATATATTCTTAATGCATGCAAGCTTATTCAGAATGGCATTCGTTACGAGCACATGTGGAGTGGGATATCATGCTAGACATCTATAAATAATTTTTTTAAATTAATGGATTTGACTCACATGAAGTGGACAGGAAAGCAACCCCATGAGGTAGTTCTGCCGTCCCAATGCTTTCTTGGAAATCCATTGCTTCTGTCAAAGGAAGAGGATGTATCGCAGAGTCCGCAGTATCATTCCATCTTGCATCTGGCTGTGTCGGCGTAGGTTCTTCTTTGTCTGCATTATTGTATGAAACATATGGATGTGACACAAATAATAAAACCCAACGAAGGAAGAAAAGGAAATACTACGCTATTCTCCAAGTATTTGTAGTCACAATAAATCCGTGCAGTATCATAAAACCACGAAATTAACAAAACTCAAGCTCTTCATTACATTTTCCCATGCAAAACAGCCTCTCTATGAGATCAAAATTGCATAAACTTTTTCCTTTGAGCAGCATACAGGGAAACATTGAGTGTCAGCCCCATTGGCCCGGTAAGAGCTAATTGAGAGCCCCCACCTTCGATATTGGAGCAGAGCCTCAATTCTCTTTTCCAATTCAAGTAAACATCAAACTTCAATCTGAATTCTTTTTCATCCCTTCAGAATGTAAGGCGATGCTTAGGCGATGTTTAATGACCGATTTAGCTTTTGTCAAGGATAACATTTGGAATGACTCGAGCAAAATGTGCTACTAAAAAATGCGGTACCTGTAGCATCCTCATCTGATGACAGTAACCTCAATGGTGACGGCATGGAGAGCAATGTTGAAGCTGATCCGTTGAAAGAGTCCTCAGCAGATCGAAAACTCCCTGAGAAACCTAAAGCGGAATCGAGAGAAATCCAAAATAACATGCCCAATCGATGCTTCTTTCATGTCTACCTATACGAAAATATAAGATAATTACTGGTACCATACATACCCAATATTTCCCCGTGCATCGTGAGTGACTTCATTGGAGAAGAGACCGTCAGGATCGTCGATGCTGTTCCATTGAAGCAATCATCACCACAGCAATTCCTGTGATCGTCTGAAACATTACCCCTTCCAATGAGAACTTACTTGGGCAGCCAATGCAAGTTGAACTTGCTAACGGAATTTCATCGACTCTAAACCAGTTTAAATTTGCCCCAAAATCCTCAATAACTAAAAGCTGTAGTTTTTTTTAATACATACGCAATATTATCAAGCAATTCATGAAATCCCTTTACCAAATGAGATAAGATACCTACCAAAGGATGTTGAAGGAAGGCCGTCTATGTCCATGACTTGAAATGTGGTCGATATTCCTCGATACTATCGAGCTCTTCAATGCTAGAAAAAAAATCGCTTCCGAGGCAATTAATAGAAGTCAAAGGATCAAAAGAATAGTATTGATCGCGTGCTGAAAAGGGAGATGAAAATGAATGCAATCTTGAACCCAACTAAGATGGCTTCCAATTGCCCCAAAACCATTGTATTGTGCGCCATCTCCAGTTCTATTTCTTAGCTCAGTGTTTGGCATCGATATCTCATAAGGGCCTTCCATGCTGCGACTTTCAACTGAGGGATAGCCACCAGGGCCTGCAACGCACCTATCCGTTTCTTTCCATCTGCTCTGAAGGGCGAGAACTTCGATGGGATTTAACTAAGGTCTTTAGGGAGTAGGGGAAGAATAATTGAATGGAGTGTGTTGGGTATCGAGGAATAACTCTTTCGTGCACCTGAGCATTGTCCATCGCGAAAATGAACTCATTGCCCGGTCCGATGTTCATCTAAAAATATTTTTTATTCCATCCTAGTGTCCCGGTTTTTTCCCATTGCAGGGACCAACATTCTGGTATTTTCTTGAAAATGTCCTGGCTTTTCTCGGAAAAAAATGGTCACCCTATACTAGTACTACGGTCTTTGATGAGATATTTCTCAAGGGGACATTAGCACGGAAACAAAAATTGATTTGTGCCTCGATCGACAGGAGGCGTTTCCTCGTCAGAGTTACCTCTTACAATGTAGAGTCCTTATCGCACTATTTTTACAGATGCGTTTTGTTCGTTAATGAGAATTGCATCAATTGCTTTGTCAAAGAGTTTCTGGCTTCAATAAGAATTTTAAAAATATCTGAGGGAAAATGACTAAATAAATAATAAGTTGCGACATGTGTATGTGTTCTCTTCTCAGAGAAAAAAATGGAGGGAAACATGAGTGACGCTTGCTGATTTTGAAGAGTGCATTTTTCCAGGAATCAGAAGGTTAAAAATACAGGGTCGTAAAGCCCAGTCTTCACTTCCATGAGAAATTCCTTAAAATAGCCTCAAACCTAAAATAGATAGGAGAGTTAATGAGTTCACTCCTATGCCGCACCGACATTCATTGTTATCGGTTATTTTGAGCATCTGTAGCCCTCCCACTGAGAGGATCTTGAGGAGGGGAGACGGAAAGGAGGAATTGAACCCTGGTCTCACGATTACTGGTCTAATGTGCTACCACTGCACCAATGAAACGCAATCACACAGTAATAGCTTTCGATTACATCCTTATCCATCACGATAACTATTTAAAAAAAAACTTATTTCATGAGGTGCTTCTTTGCCAAGTTTAAACTTTCCTGCACCCTCGGCTTTGCTGAATCCATGCCCCCAGGGGATGGATAAAAAATATTGCATTTTTCCTTATCTCTTCATTTCGGTATGCACGTCCATGCCACGTTTACGCTTTCCATGTCCAACCGGACATGGAAGGCAAGAGAAGCCAAAAGAAAGGCAAGGTATGGCCGGGAATTGAACCCTGGTCTCACGATTACTGGTCTAATGTGCTACCACTGCACCAATGAAACGCAATCACACAGTAATAGCTTTCGATTACATCCTTATCCATCACGATAACTATTTAAAAAAAAACTTCTTCCCCCAAAATTTGTACCCCCAGGGCATAAACCTCCAAAGTCGGATTTTTTCTGAACTCTGCACCCCAAAAGGTACATGTGTACCAAGTTTCAGATTTCTATCTCTTCTGGAACATGGTTAGAATTAGCGTCAGTCAGTCAGTCAGTCATTCATTCACGATCGTCTATATATATTAGATTACTGGTACAATACATACCCAATATTTCCCCGTGTATCGTGACTTCATTGGAGAAGAGACCGCCAGGATCGTCGATGCTGTTCCCTTGAAGCAATCATCACCACTGCAATTCCTGTGATCGTCTGAAACCTTACCCCTTCCAATGAGAATTTACTTGGGCAGCCAATGCAAGTTGAACTTGCTAACGGAATTTTATCGACTCTAAACCAGTTTAAATTTGCCCCAAAATCCTCAATAACTAAACGATGTAGTTTTTTTTTAATACATACGCAATATTATCAAGCAATTCATGAAATCCCTTTACCGAATGAGATAAGATACCTACCAAAGGATGTTGAAGGAAGGCCGTCTATGTCCATGACTTGAAATGTGGTCGATATTCCTCGATACTATCGAGCTCTTCAATGCTAGAAAAAAAATCGCTTCCGAGGCAATTAATAGAAGTCAAAGGATCAAAAGAATAGTATTGATCGCGTGCTGAAAAGGGAGATGAAAATGAATGCAATCTTGTTTTTTTGGGCTTTTTTATCTTGCAGAAAAGTGTTAGGGGACGAGCAACAGAAAAGGATCTCAAAATAAAATGCTAATATTACAGGGGCAAAATGGCATGCGATGAATATCGAAGAAAAATCGATGAATATAGGAAATGAAAGACAGAGTGTTCAAGCAGAAAGAGAACAAGTAAACGGAATAGTTGCATGCAAGCAGGTCAAACGGCTGAGAGGATTTCGGTCCAGACGAATCGTTACTGTAGCAAAGGGAAAACCCAAGAGACACCTCCCTCTGGCACAGCTAAGGCGAAACTGGATTCACTGTCGGACTGGCAGCCTGGCATGGGCTTACCGGATTGGAGGAAGCAGCCGGTTTAGCCCAAGGCCACAACTACTCACCCCAAGACCGTCTTCTCCTAAGATAGATCGACAGGTGGAGGGGGAGGAGAGGGTGGGCAGAAGTGGATGGAGGGGAGAGAGTGGGTACTAAGTAGGGCTGTCACGATAGATCGATGCATCGGTACCACTATCGATGGTTGAAGGTATCGATAGTTTTTTCGACCATCGCGATGTATCGGCAAAAGTTTTTTTTAAGGGAAAATGTCACATTGGGTTGAGGCGAATACAGTCCGTCAGGGCGGGGAAAGGAAGAGGCGGCGTGACCTGCATGGGCTTGCAATTTATCACGATCCAATTCTGGAAATGCTTGGACTGAGTATATGAAAGAGGGGAAGGAAAAAAAAACCTGTCGAATCGGGGATAGGAAGTGGGAAAGGAGAGGGAGGGAAGACCGAGAATTTTTTTTTTCTGATTCAGTCTTCGCCTCGATCTCATCAGGTTCATGCTGCGAAAGTATACTGTTCTTATACTCCCTTCATTTTGAAACGTACATTGGTTAATCCCCTCTATAAACTTATATTCCTTAGTATGCAAGCTTAATTTTTAAATGTTTAACTTGCCCTGGGGAATTTTAAATCTTAACTTAAGGTGAACTCAAAGTTTATATTTTACTTGCACGTTGCTTATTATCAGCTGTACCGAAGTTTTCGCAACCGCCGGTTTAGCAACATCGCCAGGTTTGCTATCTGCTGGTGCCAATGTCCAAAGAAGACCGTGTAGAACGATGAAAAATAGAGAAAAATTGCGTGAATGGGCTTTGCAAGACTAAGATTTGCCGTTATTCTTTTTTAATGCCGACACGACTACGTAGGTGGTTACTTTCCTACATTATAAGCTATTAACCTTCCTACCATCCAAAGTAATGAGGAACGCTTCCAGTGTGTAACCCCCCGCACCCCCCGATCACAAGCGTGACATTATGGAAGACGGAAAGAGGTCCACGCTCCGATCGAGCCAAGAAACGATGGAAGGCAAACCTTCACCCAATCGCGCCAAGAGAAAATGAATGAAGGAATGGAGAACAGGGCGAGGAGGGGCGAGCGCAAGCCGTTCTGTCTCGTTTCACCATTCTACAGTCTAGACAGAGAAACCAAGAGACTACGAGGCCAAATCACACCCCGAGGATATGTAAAAATCCAGACGGCAGGAGACCGAAAAGCGGCAGGAGACCATTTGGCATCGATGTCTCATAAGAGCCTTCCATGCTGCGACTTTCAACTGAGGGATAGCCACCAGGGCCTGCAACGCACCTATCCGTTTCTTCCCCTCTGCTCTGAAGGGCGAGAACTTCGATGGGATTTAACTAAGGACTTTAGGGAGTAGGGGAAGAAGAATTGAATGGAGTGGGTTGGGTATCGAGGAATAACTCTTTTGTGCACCTGAGCATTGTCCATCGCGAAAATGAACTCATTGCCCGGTCCGATGATGGCACTTAGTTCATCTAAAAATATTTTTTATTCCATCCTCGTGTCCCGATTTTTTCCCATTGCAGGGACCAACATTCTGGTATTTTCTTGAAAATGTCCTGGCTTTTCTCGGAAAAAAAATGGTCACCCTATACTAGTACTACGGTCTTTGATGAGATATTTCTCAAGGGGACATTAGCACGGAAACAAAAATTGATTTGTGCCTCGATCGACAGAAGGCGTTTCCTCGTCAGAGTTACTTCTTACAATGTAGAGTCCTTATCGCACTATTTTTACAGATGCGTTTGGTTCGTTAATGAGAATTGCATCAATTGCTTTGTCAAAGAGTTTCTGGCTTCAATAAGAATTTTAAAAATATATAAGGGAAAATGACTAAATAAATAATAAGTTGCGACGTGTGTATGTGTTCTCTTCTCAGAGAAAAAAATGGAGGGAAACTTGAGTGACGCTTGCTTATTTTGAAGATTGCATTTTTCCAGGAATCAGAAGGTTAAAAATACAGGGTCGTAAAGCCCAGTTCTCACTTCCATGAGAAATTCCTTA